CCCATCAATGCCCTGCGCCGAGCAGGCTCACTCCTGCCGCCCCCTGACCCGCTCTTATCCGTTGATAAGCTGCAGAATGGGCTCTTGTTGGGATGAGTGACAGGAGAGTCGCTCCGATAGGGACAGACAAGGGCCTGAAAGGGACGCACCCTTGGGACCCACACAACGCTGCCAAGCTATCTCTGTTAACCCCTTATTCTCTGCAGCCGGACAGACAAGGGCCTGAAAGGGACGCACTCTTGGGACCCACACAACGCTGCCAAGCTATCTCTGTTAACCCCTTATTCTCTGCAGCCAGCCACGGCTCCAGTAGTCACCACATGGCCATGGTCAGCCGTGAAGCCCACCAGGACAGTGGGACAGAGCCCAGAGAGTAGGCAGGACCCTAAATGCTGGAGTACCTTGAGAATTCCTGCCCACATCTCTGTTTGACTGGATGGCTGCTTCCAACCTCCTGAGGTGCCCTCAAACCAATGAGTGGTTTTCTGAGAAGCATCTCTGCAGTTCCCCGTCTCACTTACCGACTGCTCTCGGGAGTGGGCTTGGGGTAGCCTTCCACTGCTCCTTCCCAGACGGCGTTGGCCAGGGCGTTGCCGATAGCTGTCATGACCATGAGAAGCTCGCTAGGCCAGTCATCCAGGTCCAAGGAGCGCACACGGGACAGGTGGGTGCCCAGGTTGCGATGGATCCCGGAGCACTCAATGCACATGAGGGAGCCCAGGTTCAGACTTGCCCAGTCCGGATCTGAGGGCAGCAAGATCGGGGGGGAAAGTTAACACCGGCATGGACTCCAGCCTGTCTCCTGTGTTGCAGGAGACCCGTATTTGCAGGCACCTGCCCGCCAGATCCCTTCTGAGCCCAGTGGCCCAGCAGCAGAGTGGCCAGGGCCCCAAGCTGGTTGTAAGGGGTCACGGACCAGTGTGGGAGGTGGGTCAGTCCCCCACCCCTGAAGGGGTCCACTGCAGGAGAGGAGGAGACAGCCCCACAGAGTATGTCTCTATGGGGTACAGGGGAGGTAGCTGGGGTGGAGTCCCTCTCCCCTCCCTGGATGAATGGTCCCACCTCCCAGTGCAGCGTTTCTTACTCGGTGCATCGCAGTCCACGCAGAAGCTGTTCCCACGCGCGGTGCGGACGGCTTGCATGGCCTGTGCATCGCTCTGGCTGCCCAGCCGAGCCTGAAACGGAACACACAGGAACCTCGTTTACTCAAGGACAACTGTGCCAACATGTGTCCTCTCATCACCACCCCAAGAGCTCGTTGGGGAGCTGCCAGCACCTCGCTCCAGCAGACACCCCGCAGACTCTGTGGCAGGAGGGGTGTCCAGTGTGGGGGCTCAGAGAACAGGGCAGTCTGGAGGGGACATTGATCCATAGCCAGGTGTGCACTGAGGGAGCCAGGGATGGTGGGGCAGAAGGGGGAGCGAACAGGCGGAGCTGTCCAAGGAGGGAGAGACAGGGCAGGATCCAGCCTTGGCGGGATGCAGAGAGCTCCGTGGGGCTGGAGGTGATGGGAAACCCACTGGGGAGCAGCACAGTCCCAGGGACGGGATTCGACCCTGACTAGAAGCAGAGGGATCAGGAGAGGATCCAGCCTGGACAGAGAGGGAAGCCTGGGACAGGGATGGATGCAGCAAAGCAGATGACAGGGAGGAGGCAGCCCAGCAGAACTCAGCTGAGGTCTCTTACCTTGTTTTTGCTGCTCTCGCAGCCCTGCAGGCTGGCCAGGATCTGACTCTCGATGGCCTGGACCCAGAGCTCTCGCTCCTCTGACGTTGAGGCCTCAAAGAGCCACGTCTGGCCCGTCAGGGACACAATAATGAACTCAAATGGCTCATCTGGTTCTGGAAGAGAAAGGTGTGCCACGACACAGGTCAGGGAAGGAGGAGGGGGTCTGCTGGCCCCGCAGGGCATGAGCACAGAGACAGATCCCTGAGGGCCACTGCAGTCCCCGCAGACAGGCAGGATCGCGGGCAGCAGCTGTCCCCAGGAGGCTGGGACAGGGAAGCAGAGGCAGAAAATGCCTGCAGGGAGGAACCAGAGCTCTGTGCCAGCTCCGCTACCGTGGGCTTGTCCTTGCTTCCACACAGGAACATCCGCAGCCTCGTCCCCCCACCATCCTGAGCTGGGAAACCCAGGGGGCTGTAGCACCCGACTCCTGGAAGCTGCTTGTGCCCTGCTCTCCTTTATGTCCCACCCCCAGAGAACGCCGCTGACCTCTTGAGCAGTGACACCAGCTCCTCTGCAGAGCTGGTGCCCCCCAACAGCCCCATCACCCCCCAGGGGCCCAGAGTGCGCTCGGTGCCGGCTGATGAGTGGCTTTAGAGGGACAGGACCCCACCCACTGAATCAGGAGATGCAAGGAGGACCCTCGGGGAGGGCTCAAAGGCAGCTCTTCCCAGTCCCGTGCATCAGGAAGGGGCGCTGCTGTCAGCTGAGGAGCTCAGCAGGGCAGGGATCCTGCTTGGGAGACCCTCGGTGCCTGGGTGCTCCACGGACCCACACGACGGGGCACAGGCGCTGCTGTCCCATAGAGAAGCATTAAGTCACAGAGACCCAGGCAGGAGCCATGGAGAGACGAGAGTGATGCCATTCTCAGCTCTGGCACCTCTCAGTGCTCTGCTGCCCAAACCTAGAAAGCTGGTGGCCACGTGGGTCCCTGGAAGCCAGCCAGGCGGAGCTGCTTCCATGAGGCGTGTGGATGGCTGCAGGGATGGCAGGAGGGACACGCACAGGGCAACGTGCCCGGGAGGGCAGGGCCAGGCGACCTGCTCCTCTGCACAGCACCAGCATCTATGCCCCGCCAATGACCCTACAAGACACAGCCACAGTATCAAAGCACTTCGCTGTCTGTGAGACACGTTGGGACTAATTCCTGACTTTCCATCTTCAGGGAAGACATTTTTGGTGATCCCCAAGGGCAACTCAGACTGCCAGGCTGGTACAAAGGAAGCGCTGGCATCCCTACAAACACAGGCGGCCTGCTGGGTTTCCAGGGAGGGTGTCGGAGCTCAGGCACTTCAGTGCTGGGTGGCAAAGCCAGCAGTAAAGAGACTGGGGACAACGAAAACGTGTGAAAGCACCTCAGGCCCCCTGGGCCTAAGAAAATGAGCCCAAAACAACCAAGAGCCTGCGGAAAACTTAAAAATGTGGTCTCCCTCTCTGGCTTCTGCTCTATTGCTGTCACACCCTCCCAGCCTGGGCTGCCAGGGCCACACGGAGCAGGAGCACGGGCCTCAGATGTACATGGGGTGCCCTGTGTCGGCTCCGCACCCAAGTGCCAGCATTTACCTTTTATTGCCAACTTCAGTAGTTAGTGCAGTAAATGACTTAACTAAGCGGGGCCTGAATGGAATGACTAATAAACGTTATGTCACAGCACACGCTTCAGCTCATAGCAAAATGATTTGTAATTACCTAATTAGCGTTATGCAAATAACACCCTCATCTCCATAATGTGCCTTCCCAGCTCTCTATTAAAAGCAGAGAGTCAACTGCACAGCTCCAGAGACAGCAAGGAGGCCGAGGGGCCTGGCCGGGTCCGCAGCGAGGCAGAGGTGTGGCAGCCCCCAGCCCCGCAGGGTCTGTGCCAACCGGGCAGAGGCGGGGAGGCGAGCGGAGGGGGTCTGGAGGGGGTCCCCTC